ATAAATAACTCATGCTCACAAAAAAAAACCAACATTTTGGAATGGATGTTCTAATAACATTGTTAAAATACAGTATTGTTTAATATTGGTGTTTGGAATACTTCTTACATAGGATAATAGTTCTCTCTTCTTTTAAATCCCTTGCCTCTTTCGTTTGATGTAGTGATATCACCTTAAGGTGAGAGCATCTGTCTTTTCTATTTGGTAACTGCAGTGTGTTTAACTGCTTCTTCTTGGTATTATATATCTGTAGTTTAAATGCATGGAAATTGCATGCTATTCTGACATTTGTTCACTTTGAAATATCAGTTCCTGGAAAATTATGGACTTTATATGGCTAAAGATAAATTGCAATTTAAAGATAATTTGCATATCCAAATAGCAGTAAAATAGAACCATATTTCTACAGTAAATGGAAAGATATAAAATTTTACAGAAACTGCAGAAAAAGAGTAAACAAATTTTGTTATCACCTAAGCTGTAATTTTTTACAGTTATGTCAAAATTCTGGCAGGGGTATATTTTTCATCTATAATGTTTGCCTAAAAACCAGGTTATCTTGTGTATATTGATTCATTCAAAATATTTAAATTGTATTAGCCTAAATTTAGATAGTTAAATTTTCAGGTTTAAAGAATCAGTTGAAACAGATGATTAATTTACTCTTGTTCAGAGCTTTAGGTGCCAGAAAGATTTCTGTCAGATTTTGTCAGATCTGCTTATTACAGATCAAACAATGTGTTTCAAATCATCAAAAGCAATACAATTGATTAACCGCTACAAGGCCATGCTCTTCCTTAATGGGCTCCAGTTGTCCATGTACAGCCACAGAAAGAAAACTAACAAATCAATTGTTAATATTGTCCCACCCATTTATCCAAGATACATTCTCTGTTTAGCAGCTGTAAAGCTTTAAATTTAGCACTACTCCATTTTGTAACTCATGCAATGATTTGCTTAGCATTTGTTATCACTGTCTGTACGTGCTCATTTTTTTATCCTGTTCAGCTGTCCATTTTCCAATGTGTGTGTGCAGCTCCAATCCCAGATAAGTCACAAGTGGTTAAAAGAAAGTTACCTGTTTTCATAGTCCTCTTAATGATACAGTCATATTTCTAAGTGAACCTTTGTTCTCAAAGTACCTTACCCTAAGTAAAAAAGCACATATACTGTTTTGAGAGTCAGGTAACTGAAATTGTCTTACATCTACATTTTCTGTCTTTTGTGTGTTAAACTAGGTGTCCTCCCTTTGAGTAATGGGGGTGGGGCTTACTTATTTCGACATTTATTAAAATTTCAGTCTGGTTCAGAACAAATGTTTCCTTAGGAGTTCTTCTCCATTAAAACTTGAGGACAATGTTAGGATGTTTCTCACCTATCTGGGATATCCCATATGTGAGGATCTTGCTGCATCTCTATAAAGCATTAGAGAAGTAGCTCCATGCTGCCACTCAATGAGATTCCCTGCTTTGAAAACTAACAATTAGAACACAAACCTAATAGTTTCTGAATTTGATTGAAGCTGGACATTGCTATTATTGTGAAATGTGTAAACTATTGTTTGTGGAAGAAAAGATCTGTTTCCTTAAGCAAATAAATGGGGTTTTTTTGGGGGGGGGGGTGAGCATTCATTTTAAATTGGAAGCCTGCTCTTATCTCAGTAAGCCTACAGTTTCTTTTGTGGTGACTCCAAAAGACTTTTTATGTATTTCATTAGCATTGAGCTAAAAGCTAAAAGCTTGGACAAGAAAAAAAATGATAGTTAGGATGTCTGTTCACAACTGATTATATTTAATGACTATTTCATGGCATGGGGGCTACAGTCCTATGAAGCCTCTTTATGTATACTCAAGTACTTGGAAAAGATTAGATTGATTTGGGACATTTTTTATTTGATAATAATTCTCTTCTCCTGGGGCTGTGCTGGATGGAGGATACTATGTGGAGGAGAGTATTGATTTGAGAGGAGAGCAGAGCTCAAAGTTTGGGTAACCTTGGTGTCTTGAATTCATTGTATGTTAAATTAAAGCCATAGTACACATACTTTAAATTGAAATTAATAAAAGTCTAATGATTGTTGTGATATCCCTAGGAATCTCTATAATTTCCTAGGAATTATATAAAATATATATATTTATGTCCCATTTAAAATAATACGTGGAGCTTCTATCTAAATCACTCCTTTGACTTGCCCTATTTAGCACTAAACTACACCATCAAAATACTATGGCCTTAATAGAGAACCTGTTTGTGTAGCAAAACCAGATTTTTATTTTTTTGGTCTATTCTGTTCTTGTAACTTACTCAGTTAAGTCAGAAACTGTCCATATATTAACACAGCACTTAGGTTGACTTCTTTGAAGAAGAACAATTGTCTTGTAGATCTTTCATGTTAAACCACAACATATCCATTTCAGAGAAACTTTACTTTCTCTTCATAAGATTATAAGTTAAGATTCATGGCATATATATATATATATATATATATATATATATATATATATATATATATATATATATATATATATATATATATATATATATATATATATATATATATATATATATATATATATATATATATATATATATATGTCTTGACATTTTTCATATACATAGAGCTGTTGTGGGGCCAGGGATTATCACTTGGGTCTGTCCCATTTGGACCCCCCCCTTTTTTTTTTTAAAAAAAAAGAGGATGTTGCAATTATTATGCTATTATTCCACAGAATAGTTTATTCTTAAGTACAGTTAGTATAAAGTGGAAAAGATACAAATAAGAAAATATTTTTGATCTTCAGAAAAAATAAGCATAACTTGTTGAGAGGCAACAGCTGGAAAAACAGGGGACACCAAACAAACTACAATCAATCCAGCACAGACTTTGCCATATTTCAATCATAAGAGATCAGTTCTATGACTTCATTCTGCATGAATTTTATCCAACACATGAAATTAGACATAAAATCTCATTTATTTTTATTTTGTATTACACTGTTCCAGCACTGGAAGTTGAGAATAGCCCCATAAAAATAGCAAATATGAGTAGCCCAGCCATTTTAATTTCAGTGACACAGATTTTAATGCAACACTGGGAAATAGTTGTGATCAGTTACAATTATAGGAATATAGTGATAATGATGTTTATAATGTATGAAATGATGGATTGAAAAGCAGGATATCTTAATAGTAATGATTGCCTTGCAATAATGAACATTATTTATTAGGTTAAACTGAAATTTCAAACTGATGAGGAAGAATAATAGTACACAAGTGATACTGATAAAGTTGTCCATATCTGAGTATGCTCCGAGAGTCTGAGAGTTTCAAATTATGTGCTTTCCTGCCAGATTTAATTTTTGTGCTGAATCAAACATATATTGCATTTCTCAGCCTCTGTCTTCCAGATGTTGCCAATGCATATCATATCAAGGGCTCATGGATAATAATACAGGGAGCAGGTATCCAGAACCCTATTAATATTGTGTGCACTCCATGCTAGCATTTGTAAGAAAGGGAGTGAGGGAGAGAGTGAAAGAAACATGGCAAGCTGCCCAGAAGCAGTTGTAGAGAAGTACCAAGGTACAACAGCAGACTGGAATGCCAGGCAGAGGCATCTCTCAGAATAATAATATAGGTTTAATTCATCCTTACAATCTGCATTATAATCTCACAATGTGAGGTACTGAAGGGTGATAGCTCAGAGACAGAACACATGGTTTGCATACAAAAAGCCAGGTTCATTGTCTTGCTATCTCTAGGCATAGCTTGCAGATGTACATTCCTGTCTGGAAGCTGGTAGAAAACAGTATTGAGTTAGATTGATGAAGGGAATGAATAAGAAAAAGGCAGTTTCCTTTGTTTCAACGAGCAATTTCAATTACCAGAGGCTTCACTTTATAATTTAAGCCATTACTTCTGTTGCTGTATTCTGCTCCTGCTCCCACAAACTATTAGTTTTGAGACTGAAGGAAAACCTAATGAAACTTCATTCAGGAACCCAGTTCTTTCTTTCTTTCATAAAATAGTTCGACAAACTCACTTTGCTACAAGTTTTTCAGTTAACTGTACAAAATCAGTATGAACAAGTGGCAATACAGGTCCTGTAAGGTTAGAATAGTGTATAAGTCCCAGCAAATGATTAAATAAACATGCAAACAAACTAACTACCAAAGTGTTTGCCCCATATTATTTCCTTATTTGGAAATTCTATGAGGGTTTGCTATTTCAGAGGTCCTCAATCTTGGCAACTTTAAGACTTGTGGCTTTGCTGGCTGAGGAATTCTGGGAGCTGAAGTCCACAAGTCTTAAAGTTGCCAAGGCTGAGGACCCCTGTGCTATTTAATAATGTTAACCAGGAACTAGAGATAGTCCTCAAATACAACCATGTGTTTAGTGACTGTTCGAAGTTATAGCGGCACTGAAAATAGTGACTCATGATCGTTTTTCACATTTACAACCATAGCAACCTCCCTATGATCACATAATCAAAATTCAGCCACTTGGCAATTGGCATGTATTTATGACAGTTCCACTGTTCGGGGTCATGTGACCTTCCCAGTTGACTTCCAACTTTCAAAGTCAATGAAAATTTGCTTAACGACCACACAATTCACTTAATAGCTGCAGTGATTCACTTAACAACTGTGGCAAAAAAAGTCCTAAAATGGGGCAAAACTCACTTAACAGCTGCCTTGCCTAATAACAGAAATGTTGGGCTCAATTATGGTTGTAAGTTGTGGACCACCTGTATATTATATTTCACTGTTTCTCAGCCTTGCCAAATTTAACTCCAAATCTGGGAGTTGAAGTCCACACATTTTAAAGTTGTCAAGATTGAGACACCGTTTGTATGTGGAAATGTAAAAACAATGTTTTGACCTTTTGAAGAAGAGGTACGGTAGTTTGTTATATATCAAATGCATCAACAGGTGCCAATGATACAATGCACTTATTGTCATCATATGGTACTGATTTGTTTTTATTCTGTTTATTTAAAGCTGGATGAAGAAGCCTCGTTGTGGAGTTCCTGATCAGATGAGAGGCAACTCTAGATTTAACATTCGTCGAAAGCGATATGCATTAACAGGGCAGAAGTGGCAACACAAATATATCACTTACAGGTATGAAAGCAAAACTGTGACCCTTTAATATGGAATTGCTTAATACTTCAAAAAATACAGTTCTGCTGCTTAGTATTTGTGAAAGACAAGAAACTGGTTGCTCTCTGAAAATATGGATATGAGTGTTTTCAGAAGAAAAGGCTCTTGTACTACAAAGGTGGATAATGGGTTTAAATATCAAATGTAACTTTGAAGTTTTCAAAGTCAAATTAATTTCCTATTTCTGATGTGTCAGGTATTTATTTATTTATTTATTTATTTATTATTTATTTATTTATTAGATTTCTGTACTGCCTATCTCATCTAGATAAATTAGATTTTAAATTGGATTTCACCAAGAAAGAATAAGAATAAAAAACTACTCATTTCAATTTACTAGTAACAACAATATGTTGATTACATTTTATAAAGTATAAAATCTGCAGTTAGTTTGCAGTTAGCAGCTGCTAACTAGGATAGAATGAGAGAAATTAATTGTACATTATCAAAGAAAATGTGAAGAAGTCATTTTTTGTCTTGTTTTTCCCATTAAGATTAGGTTGGAAGAGTTGTGAAAAAAAGTATTTTAGTTCAAAAACCCAAGGATAAAGTTATCAGCCTGTCCAAATAAAGTCCTGAGTTAGACATGCAGTGACCATATTTGATTCCTGCTCACAAATAATGTCTATGGAGATTCTCAGCCATCCAGGCCATGGTTGGCCAAAGATGTTTTTTCAAAAGGCAACTGAACTTCGTTTTTCCTTGAAGATGTTTCACTTCTCATCCAAGAATCTTCTTCAGTGAAGAAGCACCTTTAGGTCATAAGGAAGAAGTATACCGTAATTTGAATGAAAGTTGGAAATATTTTCCAACTCTCACAGTTATTGTATATTCTTGGATTCCTGAGATCTTACACATGATTCACAAAGTTTTATCATTTTTCCATGGGATCTTGGAAAACTTTGGGACATTTTCAATGCTGTGAGGTTATATTTGGTTTTTATTATTCTATTTTATTGGATTCTTTGGTGAGCTCTGGGCATTTTGATGCTGATGGATGCCTTGTTGTCACTTGTTTCTCTGGAACAAAGCAATAATCACAAAGCAGTGATGAGATTGTGCCTTTTATTGGACTGCTTATAGCTACTAATTACTCATGCCCCTTCCAGGATTAACGTTAAAAGGGCAGTTCTAACAACACAGAACAGGTAGAAAATGGATACGTTTTCATTTCACATTATAGAAATCTGATCTCGACTAGTATATTTACTAGTATATTTAAAGGATGCTTGTGCAACAGTGAAAACTTTATGAAGAATATATTTAGGAAATGGCAACATAGCTTAATAGAAATCAAACTACTGTGAACCAATTTCATTATTCTGGGACAGGCAACAAAATGCATTTTATTTAATCTGTGATAAATAGCAAATTAGTTGATAAACAGCACATTAACTGGGCCTAATAATTCACATTGTGATACTTAATCCATAATAGATCATGATGTTAATGTAAATAAGTTGTTCCAAAAGAAAGTAAAAGCTTCAGCACAAGATTTTTATGTGAATATCCTATCCATGCATGGATTTTTGCACAAACAATAAGTTTCCCTATTGGACTCATATACTGGTATATGTTCAAATCTGTTTTTAAGTCTTTTAAACTATTCTATGGACTGAAGATGAACAATCATTTTTTCTTTGCCCTCTTGTGACTAGATATTAAGAAGAAGGAGAAAGGATCCATGTGTCCCAAGACTTTTCTCTTCAATTAGATAAGACCCAAGGCTCAATTTTCTCTCACTCAAAAAAATGAGAGTTGAGTTCCAAGTAAAACTGAAAAAGAAGCAAAACAGAGTAATCTGTAGGGCAGGGTCCGCAACCTATGGGCCACGGTCCACTGGGCCACAGACCGCTTGCACTCACCCCCACTCATGCTAGCACCACCGCTACAAAAATGGCAGTGCTAGGGAGTGTCATGTGGGCGCTAGCATCCCCCATTTGCATCATGCATGCTTGCTGCCTTGTTTGTGTGCACATACATGCACATAAAATTCTTCACCTCCCTTTCTCTTTGGTCCGCCAACCAAGAAAGGTTGGAGACCTCTGTTGTGGGGGGGGGGAAAGAACACTTACTGGTATAGATGATAAAGCATGAACAAGCAGGAAAGTAGAATGAATCTATTAGTACAAGGGTCTTCAAACTTGGCCCTTTTATGGCTTGTAGACTTCAACTCAGAATTCCTCAGCCAGTGTGCCTGGCTAAGGAATTCTGGGAGTTGAAGCCCACAAGTCATAAAAGGGCCAAGTTTGAAGACCCCTGTATTAGTACAACCTCCGGTCCGTGGACTAGCACCGGTCCGCGGTATGCCAGAAACTGGGCCATACAAACAAGCGAAGCCCCATCAGCAGGCAGCATGTGAAACCACGCCCCCTCCGGTCTGCAGAAAAACCTCTCTCCACAGAACTGGTCCTTGGTGCCCAAAAAGTTGGGAGCCGCTGTATTAGCAGTAAGTTATGCATCAACACAGGAATAAGTTACAATGAAAAAAGGCTGACAAATCGGGAAATTAAATAGCATTGAAAATGTTATTTCTACTTAGAATTGGGAAAAAGAGAGTAAGAAATAGAGTGAAATTCTCTACATGGATGCAGTGGCTAAAAAAAGATCTTCCTGTTGGTAGTTCTCCTTTAATGTCTACAGATGTATAGGTTAATAGTGGAGTGAGCAGTTGATGATTCAAATGATAATTAAAGAGGAAATGATGCTGCATTTCCTGCCTTTCTGCAGACCTTTGTGTTTTGAATACTGAGATCTTAGTATGATTAACTGAACACCCTTATAAACATCCCAGTACTGATAACTTAATAGGGTATTATTTCCCATTGTAGATATTTGTAGATGCACTCATTTAAATATACTTTGCTTACTCACTTGTAATTTTTAGTGTTGAACTGAAAATAAGATCTATATAAAGATCTATACATCCATAAACAGGGGTGCTTATATGCACATCCTGATGTCCATGCACTTTTTAGTTTGGGGTGTGAAAGTACTTTAGTGCAAAGGTTTCAGTGACCATTATATTCAATCAGGATAATTTATCTATTTATGGAATTACCACAGTTACTGAAAGAAAGTTGTTACCTTATCTTTATAAAGTTGTTATTCCATCTAGAAATTTCAGACTTTTAGGAACATAATGAACATGTTAATCTCTTGATATCCTTCAGATATCTTCCCTAACCTTTCCTATTTATTGTTCTAATCTTTTAGTAGTCAATCATATTATTGGCTTTAGTATCATCCAAGGAATAATAAATTAATTAATGGCAACTTAGAAAATATTTTGCTTTTCTTTGACTCTCCTGTGGTCTAATTTCATAGGCACATTTTAAGCCAAGGCATTATAAATGTTGCTTGCTAATAAATAAATGAGTTCCTGGAAAAATCTTCAATTTAATTTCTAAATTTGCTTTAAATATTATTTATTTATTCATTAAATTTATTTCATGCCCATGTCATCAGTGATTTGTTAGCTAGTTAGGAATAATATATAATCTTTTTGCTTACGCA